CACATTTCATTACACCAAATACACAAAATAATGTTCTTTTTAGCAACATCATATGACCCCTTTACGGCCTTGTCTTCAATTCTTAAAGGGAGAGTTCACCCTCAGATTCAAAACTGAATAATTCAGGCCAGTTTTGGTTTGACAGCAATTAACTAAAAAAAGAATCAAATCATTTTGTTCATGAATTAGACCTTTTTTTTTTTTAAGTCTTACTGGTTTAGATCGACATGAGAGTGAACAAAATAGATAATTTTTGGATGAACTGTCCTTTTAGGGAATTAGCAACAACAATGAAAGCTACTGAATGTAGCTAATTAGATGCATTTTCTTAAAAAGCAGCACTTACCGCCACAGCTAATCATGTTGTAATCGTTTGGTTCTTTTATGGGCCAGCAGTCATACTCAGTGTTGTCCAGGTCATGCCAGCCTTCTGCAGTCAGAATCTGAAACCAGTTCATTATCGGGGTTATTCGGGATTGGTGTTTTTATCCAAGATATGCTAACTCTAATCGATGTTTACCAGTCTTACTTCCTGAATCACCTTAAACTGGAATCAAGTTTTGACCTGTAATATTGCTTAATGTGATCCAGTTAGAAACAGAGTTGGCATAGCCGTGTTAGAAATTAAAATAAAATAAAATACATTAAAATAAAGTTAAATTAACTTTTCAATTAAATAAAAAAAATTAATATAGAAAATAAAATAAAATTACAATTTCATTTCTTTACACAAGTGTTAATATATACCATGTACATGCTGGGAAAACAAACTAAACTAAACCGAAGTAAACTATTTAATTGTTTTTAAAAAGTGTTAATATGTACCATGTATATGCTTGGATAAAATAAAATAAAAAAATAAATTAAATAATTGATTTAAACAAGTGCTATTATGTACCACATACTGTACATGCTGGGACATAATATAAAAAAACATAACACAACATAACAGCATAATTATTTATTTGGTTTAAATGTGTTAATATGTTCCACATACATTCTGGGAATAAAATTAAATAAATAAATAAACAAAATAATTACTTAAAACAAGCTACATGCTAGGGGGAAAAGTAATTAAATAAATTGCATATATTGCAAATAAAGTGAATTCACAGGTCTGTCGTTCACTGCCTTATTCTGACCACAAGTGTTTCTGACATAGACACAAAAGCCATGGGTGACAATGTCTGATCCAGTCCATTCACTGACAGCTTTTTGGCAGTGAAGCTGATTACACCATCACTGTAAAACAGGGTTTCTTACAAAAACTAAACACCATCGTCTTTTTAAACCCATCCAAGTGATCAAATAAATCCCCTGCATCGTGAAAATATTGAGAAATCCCAAATTAAGTCACAAAATCATACACTTACCACAAGGAAAAGGACAGAGCAGGTTTCCCACAGACCCATATTGTCTTGCTTGTCGGTTTGGCTGCAGTGCAGACTGACTTGGTAAGAAGGGGCTGCCTCTTGTCCTCTATTTTGTCTTTCTTTCTTTCTTTCTTTCCATGTGGCCTCAATAGTCCGGTAATTATTCAATCAGCCGGAGAGCTGGCGCTAATCATAAACACAGTGGCTTTCTGCCCCTTCACTCTCCCAAGGAGATCCAACTCACCTTCAGCCTCCACTTGTAGTCGGCACATACGCAAAAACCAATATAAAAACAACTTACTATTTGAAATGCAGTCTGATACGGTCAAATGAGATATTTGCTTATAATCAGTGTGAACATCAGCTGGCGGGATGCAAACTTTCCTCTTTAAAAAAAATAAATAAACAGAGGCCACATTCACCATGGTCTGTTTTTTATTTCAATTTTTTATCCACTAAATTGTAGTGCAGTCATACATAAAACTGACAGCATTTGTGAATGATAATTTAAAGAAGGGGAACGTTTATGGATGAGCAACAACAAAAGTTATGATTAAATACAGTATTGTTCAAAATTCTGGCGTCAGTGTTTTTTTTTATTATTCAGCAAGAATGCATTAGTAAGGAATATTTATTTCTAAATATTACATTACATTGATCAAAAGGGATATAAGGACCTTTTATAATTTTAAGATATAATGTGAAATATGAAAAATGCTTATTTTACACAAAAATATTAAAGGGGTCATATGATGCGATTTCAAGTTTTCCTTTCTCTTTGGAGTGTTACAAGCTGATTGTGCATAGATAAGATCCCTGAAGTTGCAAAGACTAAAGTCTCAAAACCAAAGGGATATTCTTTATCAAAGTTAAGACTCTGCTACGCCCCCCTAAAACGGCTCGTTCTAACACGCCCCCACATATCTGCCTCACTATGTGGAAATATTAGCATAATGCTGCCCAAATGTGCACGCAAAGAAAGAAGGCGTGGTTTCAGGGGCATAGAGGACCTACAATAATGTACAGTATTTGAAAAATAATGTTTTTTGAACATTAAAGCATGTCAACATATTCTGTTACACCAAATACACAAAATAATGATCTTTAAAACAGCATCATATGACCCCTTTAAGAAAATGCATGTTTTACATTTTAAAATATATTCAAATAGAAAACAGTTCTTTTACATTTTAACATTTCACAAAACTGTTTTACTTTATATTTGATCAAATAAATGCAGCTTTGATGAAAGAGACTTAGAGAGGTCTTTCAAAAAAATAAATAAATAAACAAATAGATAAATTCTTACTGAGCCCAAACTTTTGAACAAGTAAAAACTCTTTTGTAAAAATGTCTTTGAATAACATTTCCAACTTTGTAAATTACAGGTTATAAAAACAAATCCAAGTGTGAAACATATGTTTCACAATTTTTTTTAACAAGCAAATGGACTTCAAAACATGATTAACTATGTAGCTACTTTAAACAAAACTGTGACTGCATTTTGATTGTAAGTAAAAGAACAGTTTTCGCATTCTGATAACTCTTTATATTCCCAGTAGCGTGCTTACCCATCACGCAAAGCACGCAATTGCGTGGGGCCCCGCGATTTCTCCCGAGGAAGAAGGAGCACAACTTCTATCGCCATCGCAATTTCTCCCGAGTAGGAAGGAACGCGATTTCTACAGCCAGGAAACGCAATCGCTGGGCCCCCTCCTGGAGATTTGCTTAGGGCCCCCCATAACATAAACATGCCCCAGTATATTCCATAAAAAAATCATTCGAGTTTCATAAGTAACACTAGGGTGGATGATGACAAACATTCTGCAGAAGATCCGACTCAACTGGACTGGCCAAATTGGACCCCATTGACTTTCACTATATGGGCAAAAACAGTTCATCATCGAAAGGGGCACATTTAAATGCAAACTTGAACGAACGGTAAAGTTTAAAACTTAAATGGTTGCTTTTCATACGTTTCAGTGCTGTTACTTACCACAACATGCGATAACATTACTATAGTTAAACCATGGTAACCACAAATTAACTATGGTTTGGCTACACTAATCTTTAACCATGGTATTTGGAGTAAAACTGTGGTTATTCAAATGGTAATCAATAAGCCAAAAAAAAACATGGTTAGCCTACTACACTTTTACTACAATAAAACCATGGTTAATTTTTGTAAGGGCTAGGTTTGCGACGAGCGATTCGGAAATTCGATTTCTGCGACAACGCGGCTGGAACAACAGCATACAACCAATGCCAATCTCAGCCAGATACTGATTACATGCTTTTATTTAAAGCTGCAGTCCGTAAATTTTGCCTCTTTGTCGCCATCT